CAGACATCCACTGCTTACACTGTACGAAGGTTACTCGGATATGTCAGTCGAAAGTTAGAAGTGTTTTCCTCACTTGTCTATCTTAGAAAAAATGTCCTCGACTAACGAAACAAAACAAAAAAAGAAAAGGAAAAACCCAAATCTCAGTGAATATGTTAGAACATCATCTCTTCAGTTACCTACTTTGTAGGAGAGTGGACGAAAGGTAAATAAAAAGTAAACAGATAGGAAAATAAAAAGATTAACGACGAGGTGGATGAAAATTTTTGTACAGTGAAAAATAGGAAATACACGTTGATAGACAAACAACTCCAAAATCTAAAGCCCTACCTCAAGGTCAACCTGCTCTCAAATAGATGAAAAATAAATAAATGATTAAACACACTTTGACGGATTTATTGTTCTATATCAGTTTCAATATCGATGTTTGTTTAAATGAAATTGATATTTAGAAATGTACATAACGTATTGAAAGAATACTCTCCATATTGTTTGTAAGTTTGGGAAACTTTTGTTTCTAAATCTTTGTAATAATTGTTATTGTAAATTGTCTTGTTGTGTGTGTATATCAAAACGTATTTGTGTTAAAAAATAAAACGGTGTGTATCAATCTATCTTGTTGGCAAATATCATAAACTGACTATATATATCAGCTTTAATTTAACTACTAAATCCAAAGTACAATTTAACTACTAAATTGTAAGGTATCGTTTAACTCAATTTCAGGCTATTTGAAATTCTAATACGTAACACGGTAGATAGCATTAGTAGCAGGAAAAAAATCTAAATTTCTATATCCTACAAGCAAATGTTTAAACCATTCGCGGTTACCTTGGGATTAACAAAACACCCAAAGCCCCGAACTGTATTCTTGCTCCAATTTTAGTGTTTTAGCGTTAGAAAAAGAGGCGTGTTTATGGGTCTTGAGTAATATTCTTGTCCTGTTTTGCATTCTTTCTTGGGTACCTTGGGGAAAATTAGTAAAAACCTGTATGGTGAGCTAATAAGTGGTTGTTCTTATTTTTCTAATGTGGGGTGGTAAAGTTAGAATTTGAGATCATACTACGATTTTTATTCAAGTTTATTTTGTAAGTTGATCATCACCACATTAATTCTCTGTTACCATTAACAAACTTCATTGATTTCGACTCATTATTTGATATTTTCAACCTGAATATACCCTTAGGTGACACACGATCAGATCAATGACACAAAGTCTAGGCCTAACTGTCCTTAATTATGAGCTTTTGTCGTGAAGGTGGTCAACTAATCAACAGGACCCGACGTTTACACGACTACTCCTAACGGTACAGCGGACTTAACTGACACGTCTATAATGTGCACACAGTTGAAGTGCAAAACGTATTCAGCAGCATATTACAGGCTCAAACCTTGAATCTTTAAATCCGCACACTAGCCCGTGTCGACTGAAAGAAAAAGTATCTTGATCATCGTTTTTGAACACCTTACTTGAAAAGCCACTTGTATATGAGTACTGATCTAAGAACTGTATATGACTATATTTCTAGGTTTGTTTGTTTTTTTCATAATTTTCACATGAAGAAGAACACCGATCCTATGGTTCCAGAATGACTGTACACTGAGGTGTAATTTGAGGTGAGAAATGGTACTCCCTGGAGCTATTTCACTTCGCAAGGTGTATCGAAACAAAAAAAGTATCAAGCTCTTTATTGTTCTTCAATACGCATTACTATAAATTATTAGATGAATACTAGCATTTTCTACCACCGTATTCACAGCTGTAAGATCCTCGTTTCTCAAACCAAAACTTTGAACTTTTTACTGAGCAATTTGGTGGTGAAATATCAATTTAGTTGTACACTTTTCCTATACCGGAGAAATGCGCCTATATTTTTGAAAGTAAATTACTTAAAATAGTATAATCTTATTTTTAATGTTTCTAATCCTAAAACATTAGTACGTTTCAGATTTTCCTAACCGTTTTTACAATCTGAAATGCTCATACGTGTAGTGTTTTGGCGTTATAATATACATAATATATATGTGTGTGTGTTTATGCATTTCTTTTCTTTTTCTCCACCTACTTATGCTCGTATGTTGTAAATGTGAAAGTCCAGCTTCAAAATAATATAGAAAATTTCAACAGAATATCACTCGAGCCTGGATAGAAAGAATGTTTGTTTTTGTTTTTTTGAATTCGCGCAAAGCTACA